TAGGAAGAGCGGAAACAAAGCTCTGAAGAGGTTTCAAAGTAAAGCGTGCTTGTCTTTATGAAAGCATTTATAGACATGAATGCATGCAAGAACAGAGGCCTGGATTCAGTGAGCTAAAGGACGGTCCCTTTCAGTTTTCTGTTCCTATGATAGCATTATATATTTTCTTTCATCCTCTGACCACTCTATTAATGCTACATTTATGGAGATCAATAACTAGGATTGGCTTTAATCCTTCATGGTCAGAATGTGACTACGTCCTTTGTTTGAGGACCTTTCTGCCTCTGTACTTACCAATTCTTCTCCCCTTTTCCTCAAATTCCCTGTGGTATTCATCATTTTCTACTGTGAGTACTTCACAACATTAAGCTCATCTTTGCAGAAGCTTCGTGGGGCTTAGAAGCATCTGTACTCTGTTTTCCATTTGTTGTGATGGTTCTGATGACCTGATTTACTGCAAAGATCAATCATATTAGCTCAAGCATATCTTTTTAATTCAGAAAATAGGAAAGCCTGGCTGAGACTGACATAATACTAGTAATTAGCACAATTTCAGTAGTGGTCATTGTGCATGAGTTCCATTTCATTTTGAAAAACAGATGTTTTACTGATGTTGCATTTAATTGTACACACCTCATCAAGGTCTCATTCTACGTGTCTTTAATTCGACAAGAGGTTTTCACACAGAGCCCCTCAGTTTATGAAAAAAGGCTATGTGAGCGGTGCCCTTTAATTCCAGGCTTCTGGTTCGGTGGCAGCACACTATCAATTCTGTCATTTATTAATTCTGTAGACTACTCTGCTTCACTGGTGAGAGTTTTGCCATTTGAGATCTGTCCTTTCACATTTTTCACACCCAATTTGGGAGTAACATCACAGAAAGCAGAGTCATTATGTACAATGCTGTTATAATGATTACAGTCATTGTCATGGAAATGCACACTGAGGACAAGAATAGGGTAGGCCTGCAATGAAAATGGTAAGGCTTCTCATTCCTATCGTGAAATGACTGTCAAGAGGATGGATTAATTTACCGCCATCATCTGTTATACAGCAAGTGTTAGGACAACAAGTCATCATTGTATTTTAATATAAAGCATATCCCCATTCCTCAGTCATTATTTCTTTTCTCTAAAAAAATGTCATTTGGAGTCTGGAAATCTGTACAAAATTAATCTGTATTAGCCAAACTCAGGAGGTTTTTATAGGAACACGGCAAAACACAGGTCCTGGAAAAATGAGGCTGTGGTAGAAATGAAAAATGATCCTTTTTTTGATGTTAAGTATTTTCTGTAGTTCTGGTATTATTGAACTGGTTCCCTGCTTTGTACTTGGGGTAAATCTTCAATGTTTGAGGATACGTATTGCCAAACAAACAACTCCAAAACCAGTTTTCTATTAAAAAAGGTATCTTTAAAGAGTTTAAAACCATAGTGACTTCTTTTTCCAGAATGATGAATTGTTTGGGGAGGGTTTCTTGAAAACTTCCCAACGACCGACAGTGTCTAACAATGTTAGTTCTGACAGACATCTGTGGGAGCAAGTATGTGTGTGCAATGGAGAAACTGTGGAAATGTGATTAAGAGGGAACAAATATCCTTGTCTCAGATGAGCAGCTTGAATCCACAGAACGGAGCTTTCAGCTACATGACACTTCTTACCTTTTGCATCTCTGAAATGAAAACATAGCTGTGAGCACTGAAAGGGGCAGGGCTGGTGAATGCACCATGGCCTGGAGGAGTCAGGTAGCGACCGCACCAGCTCAGAGGAATGAAGATTCTGCTGAGGAAATCCAGAAAAACTTGTGCTGTAGGGCTGCAAGCTCTAAGATTTCTCAGTTGCCATGGCTGATATAGTTTGCATTTCTCTCCCATTTTCTGCATGTTTCCAGGTTAGATAATTCATGTGTCAGGATATGAACAAAAATAACAAATAAATAATTTAAGGAAAGAAGAGGAACAGAGTACATGTTTCAGTCCTTAATGTTCTTCATTTCGAACCTTCACACCTCTTTGTCTCCAGAACGTCTGCTCCTTCTGATATTTCTTAAAAGTGAGTTGCACTGGAAGCACGTCATAAGTACACGTTCACTGTCCTTTTTTGCTTTGGAGAGAAAAGTAAATGTGCAGTGGTAAAGGGAGGATCAGTGTTGGTTTGAGGCTGAGAGAGTCATGCTATTAGAGGTAATAGGAGAGGAATATAATGAACAAGACTGACACTTGATTTCTCTGTGCACCCTTTGGATCTCCGAAATACCAACCGTATACCTCTTAATCCACTTCACATGTCCTCTGAAGGGTAAATAGGTATTCAGCTCTGGGTTGTTTTTCAGCTGCATTTTTCTTCCCAAATGTGGGGGGTAAGGGACGTGACGCTTTACTTAGTTATTACTTTTTTTCCCTGTAATTCAAGAACACTTTCAGATTTGTGTTGACAGGGCAGGTAAGGAAGTATGGAACAGTTGGAAATGGGTGTGAATACAGGAAAGGGAAGAGGAAAGTAACAGCTTTTAAAATGTCCTGAAATGATTGTACTGAAAGTTAGATTAGGAAAGAAATCCTAGATTTTATATTGGATTTTCAAGATAGTAGTTCTATTAATTCATTATTTTACTCTTGAAAACAGAAATACGGCATAACAGACGAAATTCTTTTTCAAGGTAATATGGTGACGTGTCATGACAATAAGTTAGTTCTAATACAGGAGAGTGAATCTAATCTTTCCTGATCATATCAAGACAATTTCACATCTCAGATTTAATGACAGTAAGGGGAAAATATGTATACCTTAGAATAAGTGCTAAGGAAGAAACAAAGCAGAGTTTTACAATTAAAATGCTTTTATTCAATGTTAGAGCTTTACATAAAATAAGCATATCAGATGTTTCAGTGTAAGCATACACCAACAATTCCAAGAGTTTTTCTGATTAAAAAAAAAGTGTTTTTCTTTTACGATGAAGAAAATGAAAAGGAAAGTATAGATGTTATAGTCTAAAGATTTTGCACGTGGCTTGTTAGCCATTTTCATGCCTTTGTAAAAAGGTGTGCAGGTGGCATAATCGGCATCTAGAATATCGTGCATCTCATTTTCTACCGTTTAGTTTGCTAGTTTCACAAATAATATATTGAGATATAATAATTTTCCTCTATAGCTAGTGATAACATGGTGGCAATAAATACATCAATATGCAAGCACAGATTTTCCTGTTCTTTTATGGACTTTGGCTGCTGCTTTAAAATTTTATACTAGACTAGACCTATGTAGAAAATAAAGTAAAAAGAAGAAAGGGATTTTGGATCAGCAAGCTTTAAAATCATATATTTCATGTGTCTAGTGTGAAAGAGATTAATTTTTTAATTCTTCCAGGGCCCTTAGAAAGGCGGAAGACTGACATTGAATGAATACAATTGATATTTGAGCAAATATTTTAGCTTCACAATTTTTAATTCAATTTAAGACTGAGATATCTCCAGCTTCTTCAGCAAATCTGTGAAAGACTGAGAATATAGATGCTTGCCCTGAAAAAATGGAGGTTTGTATTTTTAATAGTTCCCTTTTAATTAAAAAAAAAAAATAAATCCCTGTTACGGTTTCTCCGTAGGTGACTAACCTAAGATTTTATAGTACTTTCTATTTACTTCCATCTTTATGGTTTTCTGCTCTCTGATTACTCA